AATGTGCCCATTCTTGCACTCATATTACTTCAAGCTTGGCCTTGACAGCTTAAGGAACTAACTGCTGCTTATTTATGGTGTTATAAACATATTGTTCTTCAGACATACATACTATTTATGAATGTTGATCAGTAACAATTATGAATTCTACAGTATTACACTGATCCAGCTAGTGGATATGTTTTTCGCTCCAAAAAGGATGTTCTTCGCTATCTAGAAACTGGAGAGATCGGTAGATATGCTTTTTTACCGAAGAAGAAGCACAGTGATGATCAAAATTTAATTCATACTGAAAAATCAGTAAGTTTGCACTTAGCTTTTGCAAATAAGTGTGATGTCTATTGCTATCCTAATTGCATTATCATTTTTACTTGCTTTATTTTTTACCTGCTTGATTTATTACGTAATTACAATGATGCATGCTGTATCAAAACTAAAATGACATAGTTTGCTTTAAAATTATATGTAGAGTAGAGGTAAGGTCATGTTTGGATTATAAGATTATGAGCAGGAAAGGATAAGACAAGTTTGATGAGATGAGTAAGTTCATATTGAAAATGGAAGAGATCAGAGACAAAGTAAGCTCATGTAAAGGTTGCCCTTAGGTTATTGATAACATATGGGGATATTCGGAGGCAAAATTTTTTGTTTAAGGATTATGCACCTGCAACCAGATTCATTGTCAAGGTTCATCCTTCTTAGATCTTAAGAGCTGCAATTCAAGTCTGATGCCTCATCTACCATGGAATTATTTGGAAGTTGTAGACTATATTTCAACCAATATTTCAGTTGGGATTTGCTTCATAATTGCCCTTTTATTTGGGAAATATGCTGGATGGAAATTTGAATTAGCTGAGTGTTTTTTTCCTTGCATTCTGTCTACTTTAGCAATTGCCGGCAGCTAAAAGGCAGAAAGTGAAGCATCCTGGCACCAGGAGGCAGCTCTTTACAGGTGAGGGGTTGAAAATCTATAAACCCTTCGAGTCATGAGAAACCAAGTTGAGAATTTGAATCAGGGAGGTTGTTTACAAGCCAATCATGCATGGAATTTATTGCTTCTGATGCAAAACTTGTTGTTGCAGCTAGGGAGACATCTGATAGGAGTATTTTATCTCACCTAGAAGCTGAGACCTTTGAGAAAGGACAGAGTGAGAAGGATTATACTGAAACTAGGCTTGCTACAACTTCCTTACCTCAAAGCCAATCATACATGGAAGTCATTGCTACTGCAGAAAAATCAAATTGGAGCTGCTCAGTAGCTCCAAAAGCTTCCAACAGAAATCAGGGGAAAACAGTCTCTGCCGATGACATGTTTGTTTCAACTGCTGCAGCAAATGTCCTGCAAGTGAAGAACCTGCTTGAAAGGGGAACAGAGAAGAAGAGCAATATAAACTCTAAGGACTCTGGCAAGTCCAAGAATAAGAAAGAGCCTGATTTGCCTCGTAGGTTTTCAAAACGACTTGCTCATCATGAACCTGATCTGGCATCTTGTGGCCTTGAACTTGTAAAGGCTTGCCAAAAAGAAGCCAATGGTCAATGTGTTTTAGAAGATGAAGCAACTGAGCAGCACAACATTGGCTCCGGTGCAGAGGTAGCAAAGCAAGTCTCTGCTGATTTGACAGTTAAATCACATTGGGGGTCAATGAAGAAGACCATAAAGCCCGCTGAAGACAAAGATGTTCTTGGAAAGCAACCACAAATGTTGGAGAATGAGAAGACTAGTGACACTAAGTCAGAAGTACAGCCTTTTGTTTGTTCTGACCCATGCCTAGAATTTGCAATCAAGACTCTTACAGGTGCAATACCACTTCAGGCTGCTTCAAGTAAAGAGCTTGTTTCAACTGCTGCTTCTAATGTCCTGCAAGAGAAGAATCTAGGTAAAACAACGATGGGAAACAAGAGCAGCAACATAGAAACTAGGAACTCAAGCAAGTTGAAAAAGATGAAAGAGCTTGACTTGCCTCGTCGGTCATCAAAACGACTTGCTGGGCTTGAACCTGAGCTGGTGGCCAGTGGAGGATCCATTGAAGTAGCTGTTCAGAATGCTACTACAATATCTGGAAAAAATGAACCGAAATCACCATGTCTTTTGGTGGATAAAGCAACTCAGCAGCCAAATGTTGGCCCTAACGCTGAGCTCCCATATCAAGCTTCTGCTGCAGCAGTCAATCAAGAGATCAGTAGCAGAAGGCCTCATGAAGGTGGAGCAATTCTTGGAGTGCGACCACAAATGTTGGGAAGTCAGAAATGCAGTGACAGCAAGTCAGAACTACAACCATTTTTTTGTTCCGACCCATGCCTTGAATTTGCAATCAAGACTCTTACAGGAGCAATACCATTAGAGGATGCTATCAATGAAGGGCTTGTTTCGACACCCATTGCTAATATCCAGCAACAGATTAATCTAGCTGAAGCTAGAATTGAACATAGCAGGTGTAGAAAAGCTTTGTTTAACTCAAGCAGGTCCAAGAAGGATTGCAGTTTTCCTCATTGGTCTTTGAAACAACTTGCTGGGCGTGCACCTGAGCTGGAGGCAAGTTCACTGTCCAATGAACGAGTTCTCAAAACTGCAGCTAGAAAGTCTTGTAATAACAAAGCCATTCGAAATGTGGATTTGACTTCAGAGAATCCAATAGATAAAGCATCTCAAGAACTTGAGACTGGACCAAGACCAGCACTTCAACATCCTGACTTTACATACAGAACCACTGTGTTTCAAGTAGAGTCATCAAACAAGAGCAAAGCGCCTCATCTAAACCTAACTGCTCCTACCGAAATGAATATTGAGAAGCCAGGCCTGCACTCTGCAATTCCATTTGGGAAGTCTTGGTCTGATTCACGCTTTGAGTTTGCATTCAACACTGTTACAGGTTCTAGTCCTACTGAGGATAGTTTTGCTTTTCAGAGTTACTTCCACCAACAGTTTAGCAGCTCTGGCTCCCAGATAGATGGCAACTTTGCATTGCCTGATTATGGCTTGCCTAGCATTTCTCAAAGCGATATTTCACCACACTTAGCTGCCACGGCACAACTTGTTATGCAGCAACAGTTCCCTGTGAATCCTTCATTCCTTCCCCCTGGTAATGTACGCTTACCTAGTCACAGTGGAGTTGATGCTCAACGACCTTACAGTAAGGGGAACAAGGAATTACCTGGCAAGGTCAAGCCCTAGACATAAGGGTTTGCAAAGCATGCCAGGCATCCAAGACAAGTTCAGGTTACATATTCTATCTGAACTGACACCTTTATGGTTTTTGACTTCTTGGCATGGACCTTTTCTTTTAAAAAAAAAAAATTCTAATTGGGTGTAAAGTATGTCAGCTGTTAAGGTAAGAAGATATTCGGCCTTCACCTTGAAATATCCTTCCATCATTTTGACTGTGGATGGAGCAAAAAGCCGCTATTTATGGCGGAGTTCTGGGGTTATCAAATATTATGTAATGTAATACTCCTGTGCTCTTGGATAAACGACAGACTGTTCACGTTACGTCATTTTTTTGGGATGATCATTAGAGTTTGTAAGTTACCATATTGCCATTGACATTATTACTACCTCTATGGTACAATTATTAATTAAAAGAAAAGATTTTCTCCCCTTCGAAAACACGTAACCTGACGAAGCGTAAGGCAATTAATCTGCCTCGATGTTTGAGTGATTTGTAGTTGAGCTTTTAATGGCATGAAAATTCAAAGCTTAACCTTTACGTTGGGAAATAAAAGTTCTTTAATCATAATGTCATCTTAATCAAATGCTGTAGTGCAATAATATCTCTTGCTGAAATGGAAAAATCAAATGTTAAATCTCCTCATAACAAAGTAGCTATAGAAAGAAAAGGCTTATGAACCCGGATTGGTAATGCACACTTTTCATAATTAATTGTCCAGTACTGTCACAATTAATTGAACTCGATCATAGCAGCATAACAGAAAAACATTCAACCAGGAAAAAGTTCAGAATCAAACTTCAGAATGAGTTCTTTGAAACAGAGATTACGATAGGAAGACCCAAGTGGCTGGCCTAGTCCCTGTATGAAGACTGCTTCCACCCTCCAAAAGATTCCTCAACTTGAAAATCCCTAGTATGTCTCTGTGATGAAGCAATGGAAATTTTGGTTAGATGAGAACATTCGACCATTTCAAATCAGATAGGAAGGAAAATGGAAACAAGCCCTTCGCAAAGCTGAATATTTCATTCAAATTTATGCAGTTGATTATAAATCAATGTGGGAGCTCAATGCTGCAAGTATGGCTTCCTCTTCATCTTCTAGTAGTCAAATGGAGATGTAATTAAAGAGAGGAAAACAAAAGAGAAAAAGAATACCTCCTCTGGGGTGAAAGTCAGACCGAGTCTAATCTCCCCATGATATTCCTCACCCTTGACAACATTATATGCAGCTGGGGGGAGGCTTCCTTCCATAAATACAGGCTCCAGAGGAATGCTGCAAAATATCATAAAAACAAGTTTTATTTAAAACTTTAGTTCACTGACTCATGAACCTAAACTAAATAGGATGGAATATGTTGAACTATATTTTATTGCTCAAGGTTCAAGCAAGATCTTCACAAAGTTTGGATCTTGTCCTCTTCCTCTAAAGCAATTTACTATGTATATTATGAAATCTGTGTAAATAGGTTACAGTGCAAGTTTTGCATGGCTTTTGAGTTTTGCTAATAATTGTTAAAAATCATCTGAGAATTTAGTAAAACTCACGTTGCTTCTCCCACGAAATCATCCTGAGAACCACAATCACTGTCCATTATTTTCAATCTGAGTTCTGAAACACCTTCGGAGATGTTGAACACAAAAGTTTCATTCCATTCCGGATCAGACCCTTTTCCTACAAAAGTTATATATATATATATATATTAGTTCCCAGTCATCTAGTACAAAAGAACAAATTTTGATGATAAAGAGGAACAATGGGAACCAAAGTTTAATTTTTTATAGCTCTATTAGTTCCTATTAATCTACAATACAAGAACAAAGGGTTTTAATGATTGATCTAAGCCCCAAAATTTTGATGACAAAATTTGATGATAAACAATGGTAAAGAACTTAGATTGATCTAAGCCCCAACCTGATGCAACACTACTTTTCTGCTCCTGGGTACGGCAAGTGAGGAGCACATAGGGATCCATGTTACCTGCTCATTTTGAAATTCCAATTCTCAAAAACATTAGCAACAAACATAAGCAATAGAACCAGGACATTAGGCCAAATACTTTCAACCACGATAAACCCCTATGATCTAACTTAAGCATGAAAATTAAACCGATCTAAACCATCCCTTCAGGTAATTCTACGAAGATGGGGTAAAAAAAAAGGAAACAATGCAGCTCAATTGGGACTGCCGGCTAATTAATAATTCTATGGTTTTCCAGGATCTAAATTTGGAACTTATTCTAATCTGTAAAAAATTCCTTGAACTCGTTGTGTCCCAAATTTCACACGTCTATATCAAACGAAAACAAAAAGAAACACGAAATAAAACTGTGCAGAAGGAGGTGGGGAATGCTGGCCCAAGCTGATGGCTGTCCCCAGGAACAAATTTTGCATGAGGAAATAATATAAAATAAAGCATATGATTCCCCCATATATGCTGTATCTTCATTTCCTAAAGTTTATACCTCAAACATGCCATGTCTTTCCCCCTCATCACCTAATATTGATTTCTTTCTTAAATTTAAGTATCAATTAAGACCTTTGTCATGTAAAACAAGAAAGAAAACAAGTAGTACAAAGGAAGAATCATCTATGTTTTAATTAAATTTAATATAATACACTCCTTTTGTCTCATTTTCTTTATCTATTTTTTCTTTATTAAAAAACATCGAACATTTGTATTATAAAAACATTAACAAATTTTAATATAAAATATGTCAAAATCAAAGTTTTTATTTTAATTTTAGAGAAAAATAAAGAAAAAAGTATACATTCAAAGATGAACGGAATATATATTTTATATAATTATTTTGATAGGGGTGAAATGAAGAGTTTGAAGACTAACATGGAAGGGAATAATAAAGTGGTGAGGATCACTAAAAGTTCATATACCCTATCAAGAATATAAGATTTTGTAGCAATTAGACTTAGATTTGAGATTTTTTGGGATCTTTTCAATCACTTCGTATTTGGGTTCCTTCCTTCCACTTTTGTTGAACAAATTAGTGGGGAAATAATGGACTGTTGTAAGAACAAAGACAGGCACAAAAATGATGCATTGTTAGAATAGAAGAAGGATATTTTGTTGTTTCTTTTCAACTAATTTCCATCCTAATCTTATCATCAACCAAATCAACATAATTGACCATCATTAGAGAATGTTTCTTTCTGCATTTCCTTCAATGTTCAAAATGTAAACAAATGATCTGACCCGGGGCTTGTCATGACCATAGCAGAAACACCCAAAAGAACTATTCCAAAGTCCCCAGATCTAGACATAAAAGATTGAAATTGAACAAGACCATAAGCAAATTCTAGTAATACCAAGAGTTTAAGATTCAGATCAAAAGAAACTCACAGAGAAAATCTGTGTTCTCAAGACCCTTGGCGCTAACAAGGACAACTTCAAGCGTTCCCTGAGGCATGTTTGGAGCGGAGAGAGACTGAGAAAGAATGATGAAAGGGAGGGATCCCAAGAACAAGAGACACAGCAGAATTTTATTGTTTGCCCTGTTTCTTGGATCTCTTTCTGAATATACCAAGTACTTGTTACGTCTCACCAGGAAACTGAGAAAAAACAAAACAAAACATGTGCCAACAAAGTATCAGTCTTTATTCATACATCTGCAGTTAAAAATGTAAAATCTGATGTTTTGGGTTAGAGAAAAGTAGATCGGACAATACCCCTATTTTCAAGCCGGTAAATTAGGGGTCAACAAGCGTTGGAAAACGCACGATCAGATTATGGTATGTCCACCTGGCATGCTGATGTCCTATATCCCCGATGGCTTTAACAAGCAAATCCTTTTAGCAGTAATAATACTATCCTTTTTGTTTAATAGGATTTTTCATTTTTGCTCATTGATTAATAGGAGAGAGGCTTTCTTTTGAATTTCTTTAACACAACGTTTTTATAATTTTAAAAATTATGATATATAAAAAATAAGATACAAGGCAAGAAAAAAAAACCTAGCAAATTATGTATAAATGCGAGCAAGGAATAAAAAAAATAAAATAACTCAATTATAAATAATCAAATGCATATCATATATCCCGAATTAATGTATGATCCTACATCTTGCTTAATAAATAAGGTTTAATTTTTTTTTCAAAAAAACAATATAGTAGTCAATATTTAGCATATACATAATATTAATCTAAAAAGATTACTAATAAATATAAAAATACCTCTAATTAATGCACATATATTTCCAACACACAATGTGCATTAATTTACCTTTCAGGAGATATTGCCGCAGCTGGTATGATTGGATTGGTGCATTTGTCTACTACTCTTTGTGTTAGTGCGGTGACAACTTTTTGATCATATGAAATTTTAATAAAAGACAAATATGTAATTAGTTAGTAAAAACCCTAAATTTTAATTGAATTGAAA